GTAAAGCTTGTTGCTGGTGCTGAGTTGCCTTTGGCATTAATTGACAACCAACACTACGTCTCGTATGTGAAAGGATATCTGCAATCAAGGTACGTTGGGGTAAGTCGAAACACTATTTGTTCCGATACAATACAATATTTTACTGAAACAAAACAACAATTAATTATGGATTTGCAAAAATATGGGGGTGTCATATATTTAACTTCGGATATATGAGAAGTGATTAATAAAAGAGCATTTAAAGCTGCAACTGCACATTATATAAACCCACTTTGGTGCATGCATAAAAAAATTATTACTTTTAGAATTATTGAGTTTCCTCATAACGCTAATAATATATTTAATGCTATTATTAGTATTGTTAGATAATATCATTGCGAAAGTAAAATTCGTTCATTTACTTTCGATAATGCTAGTGTTAATGAAATAATTGCTAATAAATTGAATAGGATATTGCAACCTGATTTTGGTGGGTATTTGTTTCATATTTGTTGTGTATGTCATATTTTGAATTTAATTGTTCAAGATGGTTTAAAACACATAAAAGACGAACTTCAAAATATTAGGAATGTACTAATATATATCACAATCTCCTCAAGTAGAAAACAAGCATTTGAGGATTATTGTGCCGAAATAGGAGTGCAAAATGTTAAAACATTTGTTAGCGACGTAGGTCATAGGTGGAACTCTACTTACTTGTTATTAAAGTCATGTGAATGTTTTGAACATTTAATAACTGACTTTTATAGCAATAAACATGTTTGAAGTGATGACAAGGGTATGTTGACTGACCGTGATTGGCAAATAGCTTTGAAAGTTAAAAAAATATTGACATCTTTTTATGAAACCACTAAGATTTTATCGGACGTTCACTATCCCACCAACTGTATGGTGCTTGAACGTCTTTATATAATTATAAGAACATTTCATAAATACAAAAATGACCCTAATTTTAGTGAAGTTATAATTGCTATAGAATTAAAATTTAAAAAATATTGGGAAGACTTGCCTATGTTATTTCCTTTAGCATACGTGATGAACCCCCGATCGGGAACTAAATATATAATTGATCAAATTTCAAACGCCTTAATATTTGATATACCTATCACATATAGAAATTTAGAGCAAACATTATGTGAAATGTCTGAATTATATGCTAACCGAATGAGTACCAATATTAGTCGGGTACCATCTGCACCTACTCCTTCCGCTGAAATTGAAGAAAAAGATGCGAAAATATTTAATTTATTTCAAGGCATTAATTCGTATAGATATGATTCATCTGTAATGTGTTCATCTACTGTCACTGCCATGTCGTCACCATCTGTATCTCATTCTCATCAAATATCTACAGGCTCAAGCCATAATGCATTGCCTGCTGAATTAATTGATTATTTCAACCAGAATATGCCAACAGATAAAACAATTAAAAAAGTTCAGACGAAATAATTGAATTCTGGCGAAGGTATGAACGACGTTGGCTAGTTATATCTGCGATTGCAAAAGATCTACTGACACCTCCGATTAGCACTATTGTTTATGAGTCTGCTTTTAGTGCAGGTAAAAGAGTTTTGAGCGAACTCAGGAGCCGACTGGAAGAAGATATTTAGAAGCGTTAATGTGCGTTAAGAATTGGCAGGCGGTTCATTTTCCACTACAAGATAAATACGCTGAAATTGCATGTCATCAAGTAAGTGATATTTGATTTAATTATATTGATGAAACTTTTCTTTTCTTATCGTTACTTTTAATTTTTTTAAAAAAATTTTACACGCTACAATAAATTGTTCGTGTACAATTTTTAACTCCGCCTATTGAAAATTTAAATAGCCGGTCACAAACCCGAATAAAAGAAGAGAGTTTATATTTTTATCTATTTTAAAAAGAAAAATAAAAAAAATGAAGATTTCATTTTTATTTTTCTATCTCTTTTAGTTAAAAAAAAAAAAATTCTTTCCACCAATTTAGTTAAATTTTTGTTAGTACTTAGTACTATTACTACTATATGTCTACATTTTAAATTCTTAACTGGAGCAATGCTGTGCGTACTTTTGCATATAATTTTCAAAGTAAATTCCTTCTGAAAATTGAAAGGGTAATCGAATGATTGCCCTTTCAATTGTTAGAAGTCTTTCACTTCGAAGATTATATATAATTTTCGAAGTGAAAGACTTCTATATAATCTTCGAAGTGAAGACTTCTGATAATTGAAAGGGCATTCAATTACCCTTTCAATTTTTAGAAGGGACTTACTTCGAAGATTATATGCAAGGGGACGCGCAGCGTTGCTTGAAAAAATAATTTTTAATACTGTTTCAAATTTTGTTTAAAAAATTATACATGAACAAACTAAAAAACAACACAATTTTTAACTCCGTCTACTCTAAATTTAAGTAGCCCGTCCCAAACCTGAATAAAGGAGGAGGGTTTAAATTTTTTACCTAGTTTTTTATATAAAAAATTCATGATTTAAAAATTAAAATTACTTTTTTATTTTCCAATTTACCTATTTGCTTCAAAAAAATGACGCGTGCTCGCGAGCTGAGCTCGCCCATTTTTGGACGAGCCGAGCTCATGCTTTCATGGCTCGGCCCCAGTGATACCCTTACTATTACCCTACTTGTTTGAATGGGTGTTCACCTCGAAGTGCCATAGTTTTGAAGGCGGCCAACACCACAAGTTGTTAATGAAGTTAAATAAAGATTACGGAGATCATAGAAGATTGTAACATATTATAATTATGATTGTACTATATATAGATAGATTGCTATTACCATATTTAGTTTGATTTTGTTAGAAGTAGTGTTTAGATGACTAACACGTTTTTCAAGCTATTTTTATTTAATTTGATTGTTTCATAGTTTGTTCCCTAGTTTTTAGGAGTTTGTCGTTTCCAGCAGTAGTGTGTTTAATTGTGGCTTAATTCTAGGTCCATTATGTTAGTGATTAGTTATGTTTTTCTGCTTTAAATTGCAATTTAGAGAAGTACAAAAAATATTCTCTATTAGAAGAAAGTTCTTTGTTCTTCTATTATTACTCTAACTGTTTTTTTCATTCTACAACAAATATTATTTCTCTGTTTTTCAAATCAAAAGATACCAATTGGTATCAGAGCTCTCTTCTTAAGGGACCTGTAAGTGTTTTAAGATTGAATCCAAGTGGTTGTCATGGACGCAGAAACCAGTTTTTCATCAATCGCGCCTCTAGTTTTCGAAGGTGAAAATTATCAGATTTGGGTTGTAAGGATGGAAACTTATCTGGAAGCCTTTGATATCTAGGTAGTAGTGGAATAGGACCATGAAATTCCACCTTCACAAAACAATCCCACGATGGCACACACTAAAAATCACAAGGATAGAAAAACAAATAAATCAAAGGCAAAGACCTGCTTGTTTGCTACTGTCTCTTCGACCATATTCACTTGGATTATGTTTCTAAAGTCAGCCAAAGTTATCTGGGACTCTCTCAAGGCAGAATATGAAAGCGATGAGCGAATCAAAGGCATGCAGGTGCTGAATCTCATATGAGATTTTGAGTTGCAAAGGATGAAAGAATCAGAGTCTATGAAGGACTACATTGACAGGCTTCTAAACATAGCAAACCGAGTAAGATTGCTTGGCTATGAGTTTACTGACTCAAGAATTGTTGAAAAAATTCTTGTAACTGTGCCCGATAGATTTGAAGCAACAATAACCACCTTAGAAAATACTAAGGACCTGTCCAAGATTACCTTGGCAGAATTATTGAATGCCTAGCAGGCACAAGAGTAACGAAGAATCATGAGAAAAGATGGAATAGCTGAAGGTGCACTGCCAGCCAAACATAATGATTACAGGAAGAACAAGAAGGATCAACCAACAAATGGAGAAAATACTGCAAACAACTACAACAAAGGCAAGGCAGGAAACTCAAAAGGAAATTATCCTTCATGCAAGCATTGTGGTAAGAAAGGTCATCCACCCTACAAGTGTTGGGGAAGACCAAATGCAAGGTGCAGTAAATGTAATCAACTTGGACATGAAGCTGTAATTTGTAAGAGTAAAAATCAGCAACAAAAAGCAGAAGCCCAAGTTGTTGGAAAAGAGGAGGAAGATCGGCTTTTTGTTGCAACATGTTTCTCAAGCAGTGACTCGAGTGAATGCTGGCTAACTGACAGTGGCTGCAAAAATCACATGACTCATGACAGGGAGCTTTTTGTGGACTTGAAGCCTGCTGAGACATCCAAAGTCAGAATTGGAAATGGAGACCACATAGCAGTGAAAGGATGAGACACTGTTGCAATACCAAGCTGTTCAGGTACAGAGTTTATTTAAGAGTTGGTCAACTAATTGAGAAAGGCTTCAAAGTTACTTTCAAAGACAAGAACTACCTAATTAAGGATGCAGCTGGTCAAAACATGTTTAAGGTAAAAATGAAAGGAAAAAGCTTCACATTTAATCCACTAGAGAAGGAGCAAGCTGTCTTTTTAATCAAAGAAAATATCACCAAGATTTGGCACAAGAGACTTGGGCATTATCACCATCAAGGCTTGTTGCAAATGAAAGCAAGACAAATGGCAAGTGATCTACCTGAGTTTGATGAACACTTACCAAATTGCAAGGCATGTCAGTTTGGTAAGCAAAGCAGAAAACCATTTCCCAAGGCAACATGCAGAGCATCAAAGAAGTTGCAATTGATTCATACAGACATTGTAGGGCCACAAAGAACGCCTTCTTTGAAAGGTAGTCTCTATTATGTAGTATTCATTGATGATTTCACCTATATGTGCTGGATTTTCTTTTCGAAGCACAAGTCAGAGGTAGCTCAAGTCTTCTGGAACTTTAAAGCCAAAGTTGAAAATGAGAGTGGCCGTAGAATTCAAACTCTTAGATCAGACAATGGCAAGGAGTACACCTCTGAATCATTCAACCGTTTTTGTGAGGAGAAAGGCATCCAGCATCAATTAACCACTCCATACTCTCCGCAAAAAAATGAAGTGAGAGACGGAACAAATTCATATTGGAGATGACAAGATGTATGCTACATGAGAAGAACCTACCAAAGTAGTTCTAGGCTGAAGCAGCAAACACTGCTTTTTTTTGCAAAATAGGCTTCTCACAAAAGCTGTGAAGAATAAGACCATTCGAGGCTTGGTATGGACACAAACGATGTCTAAACTTTCTTAAAATATTTGGTTGTTTGTGTTTTACTCACATTCTACAAACAAAGCGTGACAAATTGGACAAGAAGGCATCACCAGGCATCTTCATTGGTTATAGCAATGTCACCAAAGCTTACAAAGTTTTCCAGCCACAAATTGGGAAAATTGTCATCAGCAGGGATGTGCATTTTGTAGAAGATGAAGAATGGAACTGACTTGTGTATAATCTATTTTTGAGCAGTGGGTTAGGCAAAACCTAGGCTATCGGCCAAGGTTTATGGGACATATAGGAGCGATAATATCTCGTCACTCATTTCTCTCAAGAGCCATACAATTAATCACGTCAAAGGATCTCTTGTTGGAAACTTTTAGGGATATTCTGGATATTATCAGAAAGTTTTGGACATTTTTGTTAAATTATGAATAATAGACGTATAAATAAAATTTCTATGAACCAAAAGGAAAAGCTATGTAAAAAAGATGGAACAGATAAGATTGATCAAGCATATTTCAGAAGTCTAATTGGTTGCTTGATGCATCTCACAGCAACGAATGCTATAAGCATTTTGTCTCGATTTATGCATTGTGTAAGCGAATGGCATCTCAAGACTGCAAAGAGGGTGATTAGATATGTTAAAGGCACATGTGATTTTGGCCTTAAATTCACAAAGAGCAAAGAGTTCAAGCTGGTTGGTTTCTCAGATAGTGATTGGAGAGGTTCCATTGATGATATGAGGAGCACTTCAGGCTACTGTTTCACACTTGGTTCTGGTGTTATCTCATGGAGCTCAAAAAAACAAGAAACTGTAGCTCAATCCACTGCTGAAGCAGAGTTTATAGCTGCAACAGCAACAGTCCATCAAGCATTTTGTAGAAGATGAAGAATGGAACTGGGATGAAGCAAGGAAAACTAATCAAGCGTCAAATGACCTGAAGCTCAATTTCCCTCTTCAAGACACGGTTGAACAAAGCTATGAAGATTGGCAAAATAAGGTGATGGATGATACTCTAGTCAGGGGCACTAGATTGCTTTCTGATATTTATCAGAGATGCAACATTACAGTTTGTGAGCCTGCAGGTTTTGAAGATGCAAAACTTGATCAAAACTGGATGGTTTCAATGAAGGAGGAGCTGTATATGATTGAGAAAAACAAGACATGGCAGCTTGTTGACAGACCTGAAGATAGAAAAGTCATTGGGGTCAAATGGGTGTTCAGAACCAAGCTCAATGCTGATGGCTCCATCAACAAGCACAAGGCGTGGCTTGTGGTTAAAGGCTATGCTCAGAGTTTTGGAGTAGACTACTCTGACACATTTGCACTAATGGCCAAGCTAGACACCATTAGATTACTTCTTGCAATAGCAACACAAAGAAATTGGAGAGTATATCAGCTAGATGTTAAATCTACTTTCTTAAATGGAGTTCTCCAAGAAGAAATATACGTTGAGCAGCCCGAAGGCTTTGTGAAGAAAGGTGAAGAAGATAAGGTTTATCTTCTTAAGAAGGCTCTCTATGATTTGAAGCAAGCTCCAAGAGCTTGGTACAGCAGAATTGACGAGCACTTGTTGAGTTTTGGATTTGTCAAAAGCCTGTCAGAATCCACGCTATGTGTAAAGTGTGCTGGCATGGAGATTTTGGTTATATATGTTGATGATCTTCTAGTTACGGGAAGTAATACAAATTTGATTGAAGAGTTCAAAAAGGAAATGATGGAGGCTTTCGAGATGACAGATCTCGGTTTGATGACCTTCTTTCTTGGAATGAAAATTAAACAAAATGAACATGAAGTCTTCATGTGTCAGAAGAAATACACCAAGGAGATTTTGAAGAAGTTTAAACTCGAAGAATGCAAAGAAATGAGCACTCCTATGAACCAAAAGGAAAAGCTATGTAAAGAAGATGGAACGGATAAGATTGATCAAGCATATTTCAGAAGTCTAATTGGTTGCTTGATGTATCTCACAGCAACTCGGCCTGACATTTTGAATGCTATAAGCATTTTGTCTCAATTTATCTCTCTCTTCCAACTACAGCATCTTGGCCATCGATATATTGTTGGAATCTTGTCCGGTGTATTAGTATTAGAACTTTTATCGAAACACGAATTATGTGTTTGGCCAAGTTCTCCTACAGATAGGGCTCACTGCGTGTAACGACGCACTTCGTGAATTTCTTTTGAAAATTCTTCTTAGGAAGTGAGCTCTCTGGAGTGGGTTTGGAGTTCTCGGTTATTTTTGCACTATTTGTTGTTCTTGGCATCTCGTCGTCACTAATTTTCAAAGTTGGTTACTCTAGTTTGGATTTCTTCTTCGTGGACACAAGTATTATCACTGTCACAGTTGAAAGTTGCAAATTGATGCTTATGGCAGCATCAATTTGAGGGGTGNAAAAGGTAACTTCATCTCTTAGACGAGCTCTTTATTGTTCCTAGGCTAATGTGACGGGTGGCCAACCCATCACATCACTTACCTAAAGTAAGTGATCCAGTAAATTTCATCTAAGCTATTTGCAACATTTCTCCTACTAGCAGTTATCTGGTGATTCAAGCCTACTCACTCTACGTCAGGGGCGGACCCAGACAGTTGAGCTAGAGGGTCACAATCAAACTTTCAAACGGTGGCTAAATCATAAATGGTAATGACAGTCTGCAGTCGACAAATTCGGAGAGAAGGACAAAGGCACAAAGCTGAATTTGGCGTTGTCGATAGTATTATATATTTATAATGTTGTTTTAAACATTGACATTCAAAAAAAAAAAAAAAACAGAGATTTTTTTTTTTCAAAAACCCAATTAACCCTATATGACCGAGGTCTATCCCTGCTCTACATTGCTATATCTTGTCACTTTTTCTTTATTTATTGGGGATGGCAGGAAGGAGGACCTATACCAGAATTTAGGGGACTAACGTTTAAAAAAAAGGGAAATTCTACGTGTACACCTTATTTCCCTTAAAAAAATCAATAAGCAAACACAATTCGCATATATTTGACTGCACTTCTCCTTCTTCAAATTATATATTTTTAATTTTTGAAAATTTAAATATTCATTTCGTCAACAGAAATTGAAAAGGAAAAACTAATTTTTATCATTAGGATAGACTAAAAATGAATTAGGGTGGGATAAAGTAAAAAGAAATCATCGAACTATCATTGTTGGTTAGGTAGAAGTAACAATAAATTGAGGATATGACCGTACCTTTCGAATTGTTAAAAGGTTGAACCCCAACTTTAGAGGCTCCCAACGCCCCGCCTCTAGAGTTTCATGAGGGAGGTAAATCGCGGAATGTGCTACAGCAAGTCAGGGAATAAGAGTTGTATGTACACTGCGTCTACAAGGAGTCCAATTTAATGTTTCAGGAATTGAACCCCCACAATAGCTTTCGAATTGTTCCAATGTCGTGGTTTTGTATGACATGATCGTCGAAACAACATCCTTCGCAACCTAGTATTCTAATGTCATTTGCAAGTAACAAGATACTGTACATAATTAATTTGATATCGTCATGTATGCTTAATTGTGTAGTTCATGCTATACCGAAATATATTGTACATGATCATGCAACAAGAATGGATATGATTATAGTAAATGTGCAGAATAAATGTGTATGACATTGAGATCGTTAAGACTCGTGAAGGCAATCAGAGCTGGTCAATTTGGCAAACACCGCCAATTACAAATGTTTTATCAATCACATTGAAAACGGCCGATCAATGAATCTCCAATGACGGCTATGAACTCTATCATTATCCAACTTTATTTCAAACCATTTATGTAGCATGTCAAGCAGTGATTTCGACATCCCTTCTCCCAACTTCCAATTGTTGAGATTCATTTTAGCATCTGAAGCATCGCCGGTTCACCCTCTCGATTGTCAATCATAGACCATGGCAAAATGATCGATAAAGTTGATTATTGCGTTCTACTACAATAGCCTTCATAAATGACACATTTACAATATTGTCGACATAGTGTCGTCGAATCTATAGATCAATGTCATATTTTTACAAATAAAACACAAAATTCAGAAGAAATTAAATAAAAAAAATCCTCCCTTAAATAAAAAAACAAAAGAGTGCATAAAGCAATGTAATGATGGCTTCAAAAGAGTACCTTTTTAGACTGTTTGAAATCGAATAGAGGGAAATTTGCAAGCTGAGGTCAATCTCTCGTGGTTGGCAATGTAGTTTGAGAAAATAGAAAGTCAGCGAATTTTTATATACAAGTAGCATAATCTATTTTTGAGCAAGTGGGTTAGGCAAAACCTAGGCTATTGACTAAGGTTTATAGGACATATAGGAGGGATAATGTCTCGTCACTCATTTCTCTCGAGAGCCATACAATTAATCACGTCAAAGGATCTCTTGTTGGAAACTTTTAGGGATATTCTGTATATTATCAGAAAGTTTTGGACATTTTTGTTAAATTATGAATAATAGACGTTTTTCAACTTCAATTAATAAATAAAATTTCTGCCTCAGTGTCGTCTTTTACAAATTCAATAGTAGGATTATGATTTTATTTTTTATAAGTGTTTTCTTTGTATAACAACTTATTACAATTCAATTTACTCATGGATATGTAGTTTCTAGACGCATCATCGGACATCGAACAAAAAGAATGAGAACAACATATATGGGTCATTGATTTTGTATGATCAAATAGAAATCATGTAAAAAATGCTGTCAACGAAGAAAATTTCGATCCCTAAAATTTAAATCACTCATACCAACTTTACCCTAGATCGACGAATAAGTAGAATAGACAAGACTTTTTTTATGGATGTCCAAAAAGAAAAGGAAATTAACAAAACATTTAAAAAATAAAAACTCAAAAAAGAAAAATGTCAAAATTGTTGAAAAACTATTAGATAAATATCGATGATATCATTATACATGTATAAGTCTTATCCAGTTGAGAGAGTTTATCTCATTCTAATTGCAACTCGTATTTTGGTTCTTAATAAAATAAAAGTTCCTTTGGCTTCTCTATTTTTTCTTTTCTTTTTAGTTTATAACAAAAATTAGCATCTCATCATTTTTATCCGCACTATAAAAGTATTCTCTGATTCCAGGATAAAGAGAACACCTGCCTGGCCTGGCTGCCTCTACAGTTTCAACCACCAAGACTGCATCTTTTGCCTGAATCCCACTATCTCAAACCTTAGCTGCGAAAACATACAAACTTGTAACAATGGTGTATACATCAATTGTTCAATCTTCAATTTCAATTCTCTCTCTTTCGCCCAAATTCTATTCACACACTAAAACCCCATATCGAATACCTCAAATCCTCCCATTTTCGCCATTAATCCCTGTTCTCAAGCTTCAAGTTGCACCCACCAGAAGATTATGTACTGTATGCTGTTATAAGAACAATTCTAGCCAAGAATCTGATAAAAAAGTAAGCTCTATGCTTTTATCCATTAGAAACTACGCCTTTCCCGGGGGGGGGGGGACGATTTTATCTTTTTATTATATTTGCTATCTGCACAGATGAAAGTTTTAGCTTTATATTGATCTTTATCCAGTAGTAAAGGAGAAAAAATTTCACTTGGAGGAAAAAGAATTATTGGTAATAAGATGGAGACTGTTGAAAAAACGCATTTTTTTGCTGGAATTATTAGCAGTCTTAAATGGGTTCTACGTCCATTCGAAAAGAAGGAAAATTTGAAATGGGTTTCTAAAGGAAAGCTGGAAATATCTGAATTAAGGGTTCTTGATAGTTGTTTCTTTTATTTTGAAACATAATTAGTTCTAATAGGGTTAAGAACTGATTTACTGAAATGGTGTTTCTACAGGAAGCTGGGCTAAATTGGCGAATATTGAAACGATGGGATGTGCCGTGGAATTGGCAAACAATTTCTTTAACATCACTTGCATGCGGATTGAGGTGCATTTCCAACACTAGTTCGACTCAATATTTGATCCTGTATATAAAAATAGAATCCATTTGGTTTATGATGCAAGATATGATAAGAGTAGGTTCTTTCTTTTCTTGTAATTTAAATAAAATATTCTTAGTTACCAATCTCTTATGGATGGAGTCATCGGAGTGTTACTTTAGTTGTTGACTTCTTTCTTAATATTAGGAACGGAGTATTGACATCAACGAAAACTGATCATTACTCAGGCAGTTTTGTTTTGACAGGACTGATTGAGGCGGCAGCAATACCATATGCTGGACTTAAAATTGAAGAATTAAGTTTAGATGAAAAGGCAGAAATTCTGTTTGTGGATCAATCGTATGAGAAGTTTTCACACTTCAACTTCAGTTTCTTTCTTTTCTTTGACAAGTTCTTATTTTGATTTGCACTCTTGCATCTAACTTTATTTACTCTATTGTCTTGTAGCATTGCAACTGCAGTGGTGCTTGGTGTTCTATACAGTCTCACAAAGTCATTCTCTCCACTTCCTGATGATATTTATCGATATGGTGATGAACATGATTACTCAATCAAGTTTATAAGAGCAATTTATTATGGATAGATGGTTCATTAGGCCTTTTCTGGTCCATGAAATTGTTACATTTTTATTTTTATTTTTTTTCTTATCTAACATTTGAGAGAAAAAAGTTGAAATCATGTGTATAACCAATTTGTGTTTTAGATTTGAAGGAACCTTTCAATTTTCGGAAAGGGTGGTTGTTATGGGCTGGGATTGGTCTAGGTGGAGCTCTAGGTGCTATCGCCCTGACAGGTGTTGTGATGTCTTTTGTCAATGGTGAGGCCCCACACCGAGAGGTTAGGATTTAATATCTATTTCTGCCAACTCTTTTTGTGCCTTTTGATTAACATAAGGAGTATGAACCATGTATTTCTTTTATTAAGACTTGGTCAACATTTTTAAGTGGAGTAATCAAGGCCCTATATGTAGTATATTTATGTCGTATTTATTCGATGTGAAATAGGCAAGATGGTGGCTCATTTGTGAACACCAATCTTTTAGAATCCATGTGCTTGTTGGAATCTTAGTTGGATCTAGTTGCTCATTTGAGCTTAATGGGCTCTAATATCATCTTTTCTTGAGGTTCCATCTTAAAGGGTTTACCTAATTAAAAGAGTAGTCTAAGCCCTTATATTTTCTTTTCACATGGAAAAGTTAATTATAAATGCTTTGACAGAGTTTCTTTACGTTCAACTATGGCTAAAAGCTTAAAATTAGAACATGATTCATTTTCTCCAGCCGAATTCATTTCAAGTGAGTGTCATGAGCAAGTGTAGGTTAACATCTTATAGAACCGAAACTTATTTTTTATCCTTTAGATTTTTCCCCCATCTTCTCAAGAAAAAGAAATGACATTGATGATATCCAGTTTCACTGATGATTATAGTTATGCAGTATGCACAGCATTTTCATTTTCCTAATGTATAGTGTTAATAATCTCCTTGAATTCTGTTCAGACTGATGCTCTTGTCCGCCTTCTTCCATTGATTGGATCTTCAGGTATCAGGTAACTTCTGACAGAAGTCTTCAAATTTTCTCACGTATTTACGAAGATTGGGTTTTTCTTTAATCCTTATATAATTTTGGATAAAACAGGAACTAATTCTTTACATTTTAAATGTAGCACTGCCTGCTTGGTAGGCATCACGGGTGTCCTAGCACCTATTCTTGAGGAGACTGTGTTCAGAGGTTTTTTTATGGTGTCTCTAACGAAGTGGTATAATTTCTCATTTCAAAGTTGTTTTCTTTTTATAGGTTATGCAATTATAAATCAGTGTCATGAATATATTGTTAAAAGAGTAGAAAAAGTGTAAAGCATATAGTGGTGTATAGTTAAATCAAAATTTCGTCCTCTTAATCAGTTATACTTAAAAGATAAAAGAAGTTAGATGCATGTAACTGAGAATCAAAAGCTTAAGCATCCAGGATTAGAAAAATGATGTCTAAAGTCTGGTTTATGATTCCACCTTTCTCTGACTTTTGAAAGAAAGAAAAACGTAAGTTACTCAAGCATATTTGGACCTTTTACTTCAATTTAAACATAGCCAAACATTCTCCACACCTCGTTCTGGAGTTTGATGACTGAACGAGAAGGCTAAAATGGCAGCTTTGTTTTAATGACTAAATATAAGTGAGCTTATTGTTTTCGCATGTTAAATGGTTCATGGAGGAAAATTTTCTGATTTGCAATTTGCAATTGTTTTATCCTTCAATGGAAGTGTGCGTATAAGTGTGTCGAAGAGTGATTAGTTCTAGCTTTCTCTGCAGGTTGCCAACGCCAATTGCTGTGCTTATCAGTGCTGCTGTTTTTGCAGTTGCACATTTCACTCCTGAAGAATTTCCTCAGCTGTTTGTTCTTGGTATGATTAATGCCCACAAGTTTATTCAGAGAATAAACGAACTAAAAGCAACTAAAAATAAATGGAATTTCATAAACTATGGAGAGAAATTTTTTGTTTCTCAATTTGGCAGAGGTTTCAATAACGAATTCCTAACTCGGCATCTCATTCATTTTTTATTTGATGTGATTTGGTACAGAAGGCAACCTCTAAATAAAAGTCCCTTATCTTTTTGACATATTTATTTAGCGTGATGAATATACTGAATTATATGTCTATCACGCTCATAGTCGATGTTTTGATTGCTTGGGCTGTTTTCAAGAAATCAGGACAGCATAAAATTTTCCCTTTATGAAGTCAAATAGAAGTGTTCTTGCACTGCAAATAACTAGTTTTGTGGTTTAATAAAGAAGAACGGGATTTATCTTAAGGCCCTGTTTGGCACCCATTTTTATCAAAATGCATTTTTCTCTCTCTTCTTTTCAACCACACATTCTTTATTAAAATAATATTACACGTAAATCAAGAACTTTTTCTTATTTTTCAACCACACATTTTCCATCAATTTACTATTCAAAAATTCATTTTCACATAAAAATTCCTACCAAACACCCTCTAAATCTGAATTCCTTGAATATTATGCTTTTTCAGGCACTGCTTTGGGATTATCATATGCTCATACCCGCAACCTTCTCACCCCAATCACAATTCATGCCTTTTGGAACTCGGGAGTTATCCTGCTTCTCACCTTCCTTCAGGTAATTCTTTGTCCACAAGTTTTAAGTTTTCCACAGTGCTCTAAATACCCAGCTCATTATTTGGTAATTATGCTCCATCATATCAAAGCACAGAATTATGCATTTTTATTATAACCTAATACTGAAAAAAATTATATGCATAAAGTCTTTTTTTTTAAGGCATTCTTCTACTTGTGTCACTATAGAATATCACAATGCACAAACTTAGAGCCAATAATGCACCGTTACAGACACGTGTGTCCAACACGATACGCATTGGATACGTTGACTCGTGATTTTTCAAAAAAATACCGACACGACACGTCACGTCATTGACACGTTCATTAAATTCTTTAAAATTCTTCATTTTTGTAGTTTAAATTTAGTTTTATATTTATTATTAATTTTTTTTTGTTGAAATCTTTTAAATATGCATACTTATTTTTTATTTACAAATAACTTTGAGTTAAAAATATATACTAGTTATCGTAAGAAAGAAAAATGATTATTATAGAGTGTCTGAAGAGTGTCAGTATTGACATGTGTTCGACGCGTGTTGGACACGGATACGCTATCCTGATTAGAGTGTCTGTGCTACAGAGCTTAGAGCAATTAAAGAGGGAGAAGTGAACCTTTTTCTTTTATTTTTATTTTATTTGTTTATTTATTTTTTGGTATTTGAGGGTCATGAAGAGTTTCAGTCTTGCTTTATTCTATTTATTTTCATTGAATTTTAATATTAAGTTGTTGAATAACTGCACTAAGAATGTTTGTCCCGGCTGTTTGTTTGTAGCTCCGAGGATATGATATCAAGGAATTGCTACAAGCATCTTGATAGAGTTGGGTCTCTCTCTGTCTCTTAGAAGGTAGCATGCATGGCTGCTTGTCAATCTTCGTTGAGATTTATCTGCCCGTTTATAACATTTACTAGATGAATTTCACGTACTGTAAATTTATGGCCATGATTTTACTCTTCAAATTTTTGAGAGAATGAAAAATGTTCGATTTTTATTTGATACAACAGCATCTTTCTTTAAACTAGCTGTGCTTTTCTTTACCTTAATGTGACATCTTGTTTACCAACAGCGGTTGACCATTTGCACTAATAGAGCGGTTAAGGTTATATTCATTTGTAAACGAATTTATTAACCTTAACCAGTGTAGATTGGACCCTGAAATCTGAATCAATGGGAGCCAAACTGGGTGACGCCCCCTTGGGTCAATTGAACATCAACCAACCACCATATTTCACGTAGAAAATTGTACGATATCATAGTAACTCAAAAACTCACTGAGAATTACATCGAAGCAAATCCAAAATGAATTTCAAAATCATAAAAAATCGCCAGAAACAAAAGCTCCCAACATTTAGTAGAACAATGAAAACAAAAGTAACATTTCCAAGAATTCCATAAAAATAAAGATACCTAGCTTGAAAACCTCAAAATTACATTTCAGTGATTCCTCAACTAGTTGTATGTATCAAGGACCAAAATTATATCAGAACTCAGCTCTTGGTAGCCAGCTTTTCCTTGGCCTTTTGAATCTTCAAAACCTTCTTCACAATCTTTTGCTCTTCAACCAAGAAAGCTCTAATAATTCTACAAAACCCAGCAGAAAGACTGTCAAAAAACTTCAAGAAAGAATCTATAAGGCATATTTGAGTAAATGGTCAGTATCTGTATGCACAGAGAAACCTACCTTTCCCTTACAGCACCACTGGACAACACTCCACCATATGCACGGTTCACAGTCCTCCGATTTCGGGACAATCTAGACCTCTTGTACTGAGCAGGTCTCAAATGAGGTATCTGCAAATATATAAAGCAGGAAAAAGTTAAAAATTATTTTTCTACATGGCAGTAACCTTGTCATTCAAACACTTAAATCCTAATATTAGTATGTAGTACTGCGCATTGTGGAGAAGTCATTAATTATTGAGGGCGAAAATCCAATGCTATTGATAAGATCGATAAAATAAAAATATCAATTTTTCCGCAAGAAATATTTTTTGAGCACTAAATAAATGCATAAGATTAACAACTTAATCGTGAAAAACATTTATTTCAATTTTCATTAATCACATTGGGACGTAAAAAGCAAATAAAAAGGCATACCCCTTGGATTCTCTTGCCAGTAACAGGGCATTTAGGGCCACTAGCTCTCTTCTTAGTGCTCTGGTACACTAACTTCCCTCCTAATTGAACACACACAATTTAAAAAAAAATATACAATAAACATATGAAAAATCAAATCATAAAGAAAAAGATTAAAAAAAAAAAATGAAACCAAAAATAAATATTTCAAAAATTCAATATACAAAAGGTATTTTACCGGGGGTTTTGACGATCCGATGCTGATTGGATTTGGTGGCATAGCTATGCCGTTTCCTGTATGTCAGCCGTTGAACCATTTTCCGCTTTTCTGGGTTGCCGTGTTACCCGGTTCCGGATATTGCTCTGTGCTCTGGGGCGGTACAGGTGTTGAAGAGATTATGGACGAGGATTATATGTTTGTCGCCCTAGATCGTGCGGTTAAAGTTCTACTTGTCAATATATACGGCTGTGATTCGTCTAAAGCTTATAATTTCTTTGGTTCTTTTTGTTTAATTTTTTTTCCCTTTTTCTAACCACACTTTCCTTCAAATTTCATTTCGTGAAAACTTCAAAAGTCCGGGTTAAGCATGACCAACTCAATTTTTAAGTGACAAGTTTCAAAATGCAAAACTCAAGTATTAACTAATTAATTAAATTTACTAATATCACAAATATACAATTAATGGTCATATATACATAATTATATGTTACAATTGTTTTATTGATCATAGATTATTTCGAGATCACAGATAAAAAATTTGTAGGTCACAGATTATTTCATAGTCATAAATCAAAAATTTTATATAAGTCACAATTTATTTCATTAGTCAAAAAAATCAAAAAATTACTACTCACAATTTATTATTCAATCATAAATTATATTTTAGTCACAAGTTATCAAATTTTAAGATCACAATTTAATACTTGGTCACATATAACCAAATAATTAGTTCATTGCCATCAACACTATCACCACTTGCAACCACCCTTGCCAGCACCACAACCATCCGCTATCACCATGTCAACACCTTCGATTGTACTTCCAACAAAAATCGTTGCCAGATCCAAAAACCCAACCCTCTCCCCCTAAATGTAGATCGATGCACCACACCATCACAATCGCCGCCACCACCTCCAAAGTCAATCCATCACTTAGATCGCCATCCATTGAGTCTCTGCACTTATTCCTTTTTCTTTCTGAACCTTTGTTTTGGGAAAACAGGATTTGACTCAGGATTGCCCACTTTTATTAATTTCGGGGTTTTTCTGAATTTGAAAGTTACCACTTAGTAAGTTCCCATACCAATGTTCAATCCAATTAAGTCGGTAGCATCTATCAATTTTGCCATATCCCCCTTCCCTTTGTTTTGAGATTAGGATTTCATTGTCATGTCATTCCTTTTTTCTTTCATTATACTTATATTGGAACCCTTGAATTCATTAGATACTGATTATTATCTTGAAAAAAAAAATCTATTTTCCCTTCTTTGATTTCTTCATTATCGAAAACCCGTATTTGATTCAATCACATTGGATTTTATCATTTCTGTATCGGCAATTCAACATAGATGGATATATACCCCATGTATATGTCTCTCTTCATGCCACTATAACACTCAGATTCGAAGGCACAAAGGTGATCTTCGAACAAATAAGTTCATCGAATGTTGTGGTTGTGCTACAGTCGAAGGCACAAAAGCATCGAAATAACAAAGGTGATCATCGAATGCTGGTGTCACGCTGCAGTCACCTTGTCGTCTTCAATGTGGTATTGTCTCCAACGGCGATCCAGTAGTTTATATTAAAAAGAAGAGAGAAGGGAGAGGGATGTAGAGAGATAAACTCAAAACACTGTATCTACAAAAACACATGTAAAAGCTCCCAGAAAATTAAAATATGTATGGGGAGGCAAAAGGACTTCTCTTTATCCATAGTTCTATGTTTGAATGATACAGTGATACTGATAATTTATTAGGCTATGTCTGATAGCACTTCAATTCCATGGAAGATGGAAAATATTCAATCATTTTTAGACTAATGGCTTGTTTGATAGCCAATATTTTCTTGGCAATTCATTTTTCAGGGTTACGGCATGTGATCTATTTTTCCTTGTTTTGGTGTAATTGAAATTCTTATGGTTTTGGTGTCATTTTGTTTTCCAAGCAAATTTATTTATTTATTTATTATTATTTTATTTTTTTTGGCAATGTGAACAAATTCTAGGAACAATTGTGAAAGAGAAAATCCCTTAAATTGACAATTTCTATGTAAAACAAAGCAAACAAACACCAAAATATAGATTATTTTTATTTTTATTTTTATTTTTTTGCAAAGGAAACAAATTCTAGAAACAATTGTAAAAGTAGATATCCCTTAAATTGACAATTTTGATGAAAAATAAAGTCAAACGAACACCAAAAGACACTTTAATTTCAACATTTTTCAGGTGGAAAATTATATCAATTGTTACGCCCCTATCTGAACCGCCTCGAAATGCCCACCACCACACATTCCGATCTGATAAATACACATCCGAAGTGTTTTCGAAGTGATCTCACCAATGTTAACGACCTGATAGCACACTGCGAGACGATCCTACTGAACTGACCGAAGCGCCCTTGCCCTTGAGGCTGGGGCGAAGTGGACCTATGTCAGAAGATCCGCCGCCAATTTCAGAAAGGGATTTTTGCCAAGATCCTCTTTGCACCTAAGGTTTAAATTGATTTGACGTCTCCATGAGATTAGTTGTTATGACTTATCAACTTTATGTCAACTCAACTCAGGAGAAACAAATTGTCTGCCCACTCTACAGATGCGGCTGATTGATGCCTATGAGCAGACACCTCATACCGTCAGATGTATACATGTGTCCCACATTCAACGGTTCATCCCACCTATAAATACCCAATGTTTGACAAAAGGTGAATGTAATAAAACTCTTACTACATAGCACTCTATAGCAAGTTTATATATTATTTCCTCTCCTTTAGTGTTTTTGACACAACCTCTAGGTACTGTTCCGACCACCTGAACATGACTTGACCGTCGGAGTGTATACGGCCGCCACTACCCCCGCTGGTCTCGGCCGTATGCGTCTAATCGTGCGTTGATTGTGCTTAGGGAGGAATATGTGGAGTAGCTATCGGTTGGTCACGTGGAAGGTCTAATTTTCGAGGTCAATAGATTGGCACCGTCTGTGGGAAACACTTTCCGTTCAAAGTTCTACATTCTCCACCGGAGAAGTTACCGGAAAACTAGCGACTAACCCTGAAAAGGGCACGTTCTTGAAAAAGAACACAGTCAAGTTACAATCCAAATTCTCACTACCCTTGAAAAAAGAGATAGGATGAGCTATAGCCATGAAGACGACAACCTCATGAGAGAGGCCTCTGAAGAAGAGGTGCTCCATAACAATGTTACTCATCAGAGACCCCATCACCGGCGTCGCCGAGGTGGAAGAACAGCCATGCTCACTAAAGGAATGGCTCAAATAGCTGTGGGTATGAGAGATATCGCAGCTTAGAATATGGCAATGCATGAACTCCTCATGCAAGCCCGAGGTCAACCCGGGCTCTCAAATGCCCCAATGATCTTATCTAGTGCAGGAAGTCCCAGTATCTCGTTCTCGAGGCCATACCAGTCAGCACAGAGAACGTCCCCTCGAAAGAGAAGTGGGCGTCGAGGCCACATCTTATGTGTAAGGGAGCCAGCCATCAGAACCCCACTTGGGGGATAACTTCCCTCAAGAATATGAAGAACAGAGATCCGTAAGCATCTTCGACCGGATAGGGAAGGATCCTAGCAATAGGGTCCGCCCAGTGAGAATATCAGTTCAACCGGATCAGGAACAAGAACAGGCCCCTCACCCTCCTAAAAATAGGAGAGACAGGAGGAACCTAGCTGATTGGGGGGAGTCGAGGAGGGGCACCTCCACCTCCCCAGAACATTCAAGATGATGAAGGGTCAGATAGGCCCTGTCGATCTTATGAGATTGACGATGATGATGATGATAACCTCCATTTCTCAAGGGAGATCTGAAGCTTCCCAATGCCAGCAAATTTCATGCCCCCTAAGATCCCCAAGTATGAAGGAAAGGGAGACCCAGAGAAGCACCTCACCAAGTACATGACACAAATGAGCCTAAGGGGAGTCTCGCCCGCTTTGAAATGCAGAGCCTTCCATTTAACACTAGGCGGAGCCGTCGAAATGTGGTACAGCAGGCTTCCTCCCCTAAGCATTAGAAGTTGGTCAGCTTTGAAGAAAGCATTTTTGAACCAATACCTCTCACGCAGAAAAGGAGAGGCACCAGTGCAACGCCTGCAAGATATGAGGCAGACCCTTGGGGAGACGCTGAAAAGCTATCTCGCCAGGTTTACAGACGAAATCACCTACTGTGAACAGGTCACTGACAGAGAAGTCCTTTCAGCCCTGAAAGGCGGGCTCGACATGAATACTTTGTTCTGGAGGGACGTACGCAGCAAGAATCCCTCCACCTATGACGAACTGGTGGAAATGATGAGAGTGGAAATTGTGAGTGAAGAAATGATTGATCACCGAAACCATGCCACGCAGGGACTCACTCCGCCTCAGAGGTAGGTAGGTCGAGGACCCGCAGCACACCTTGTTACTCAGCAATGGACTCAGGCATGTCACACAATAGCTCTCACCTCCGGACAGGCACTGGCTTCTGCCACACTAAATGCAGTGCTAATATTGGCATATGAAAATGCTCCTGGCAAAGCAGGGCCATCCAGAAGAATCGATAGCAAGAAAAAGAAGAAGAAACGATCAAACAGGCCCTTGGAAGGAGCAAGGTTTTGCACTTTCCATCAACTGTATGGGCATGACACCCAACTGCCACCTTGAAAATACGCAACAATTGTCAGATCATTTGACGTCTGAATCGCCTCGGATCGAACTCCTCACTCAACTTTACAAAGTTTAGACGCACCTGACGTGAAGTCCCCTGTGGGTCATCGCCTCGACTGCTGCGTTCACTCCTAAGCTTTACAAAGTTTCAGCTATCTCCCAACCCGTCGTCCTCCGTGAGTTAGCGCACCGGTGGCAGATGAGCTCCTCACTCAACTTTACAAAGCTTAGACACACCTGACGCGAAGTCCTCTGTGGGTCATCGCCTCGGCCGCTGCGTTCCCTCCTAAACTTTACAAAGTTTTAGCCATCTCCCAACGCGTCGTCCCCCGTGGGTCAGCGCACCGATAGCAGATGAGCTCCTCACTCAATTTTACAAAACTTAGGCACACCTGACGTGAGTCCTTTGTGGGTTATTGCCTCGGTCATCGCGTTGACCTTTTTTCCTACTAATCGTCCAGTCTTGCAGCGCTTCGATCTCACATCGGTTATTGTTTCCCTTACGCAATAACGAAGTTTTGGCGCATCTGCCTAAGATCATGGCTTCGGTTACTGCAAAAGATCGACCCAC